TGGACGTATAGAGGGAAGTAGTGAAAAACTTGTTTACCTCAAGTTTGTTCATGCTTGGTTGTAAGATCCAGAACCTTCTTTCTACAGCTAAATCCTTCATTTGTACATAAATGCAAATCCCTTTCATATATGTCACTTCATTTAAGTTTGACTGTTGAGGAAAAAAATGTGACACTCAGATCACTCAATAGGACATTGTTTTTATTATTTAGCATTTAGAAATTTTGGTTAGTGACTTTTTTTCTTCTTTCAGCACAGAATCTTGGAGGAACTTACTGGAAGCCTCCTTATGCAATAAAGCCCTGCTAGCACTGATGGGACTTAGAAATTCTCAGGCCATTTAATGTAAACATTCATAATGTGTAATTATCATCAAGAAGTTTTGTGACTGCTGCAGTAGTTCGTGTAAAATAATTGCAAATAGCTATTGGTTATCCAGACTTTTAGCTTTTGTTACAAAATCAGATCTGTTTGTTATAAAACCAGACTGATTCACATCGATTACATCATTTTTCTGTCTGCCTGGTTTTATATCAGGTTGTGTTTGATTGCAGATAGACTGTGAGAAGTATCATACACAGCTTGCCTGTAGCTTGAAGCACTGAAAAAACAGAGTTTGCTTTCTAAATAACTTGTCCCAAATAGCTTTTCCAGGTACCTCATTAGTTCCTGGTTTCCAGGTTTCTGACTTCTTCTTAGCCCGCTAAATATTTTCCTTTGTCAGGAGTTGATTCTAAGCCTACTGAGCAGCTTCTGTTGAAATAAGGTAGCTTTTTGGACTAGGCTTTATCTGGCTAGACTTTTGGTCTCTACAGGTCTAATTTAGATGCCATCTCATTACCACTTCCAGCTAAGCAAAAAAGGCATGCACCAAAGCCAGACAACTGGGATGAAACAGCAGGCAGCTTTTTTTGCTTATATGTTAGACTTAGATTTTAGAAGATTTTTAGATAGCTGCAAACTGTTGTTTAACATCTGAGTGATTTGATACTCATGCTTCTGTAGTGCACAGTAGTACTTTAATGTGCTGTCAGCTTGAAGTGTTGGAAGCTTAGTGATTCACATCTCTGAGTGGGGAGATATTGTAGCTACATACAACCAGTTGGGAAATATTTTCAGATCACTGCTATATGTGAATAGTATGTGTTCCAATATGCCTTTCAGTCTGATAAGGGATCAAAGGTGTAATTTTATTGCAAAGTTAACCTTGAAGCAAGTGGTGCTGAAGCTGTTTAATACTTGCATTATTGTAAAAGCTGAATGAGCAATGAATTGAAATTTAAGCAGTTTGAGAGAAGTTAGCTGAGAGAAAGGTAACTGACATGGGATTCTACAACCCAAAAGTTGTAAAAGCTTTGTTTAGGAGATTAATTTTAGCCTCTGAAAGAAGAGAAGCAGCAGCAGTGGAGGGACTGGATTGTCAAGTGCAAAGACAGGCTCAACAGCTGAATGAGGCTATTATTAATTCTGTGTGTGTATGTACAACAGCAGAGAAGAATATGGAATAAGTGGAGATATGCTCAAATAGTATATGAAAAAAATGCTTGTAGAAACTAATGAGTAAGGGGCAATTAAGAATGTAATTAAGTCTTTTTTGCTGTTTAGCCAACAAGAAAAGAAAGGAATCCTGTATTTGTGGCCAGGACAGCTGTTGCTGCCATTCTGTGAATCTGTTTCCAGAGAAGGGTGGAAGTGATATGTGAAACACAATCTTTAACATAAACTTCTGTGGACTTTGGAAGCACTTGAGTGACCTTAACACTATGAAATATTCATCAAGATGTTAGGTTGAGATGCTTGGTACAAAACGGGGAAATTTTTAATATACCTATTAATATCCTCCTGTAGAGACTCCTGAAGCTTCCTTTGTCTCAACAATTGGATCTGTGACCAAAGCCATACCTAAAACCTTTAAGTAAGCAGCTGCTTTCTGCAACACAGCTTTTGATTTTTTGGCAGCAAGGCTATATGAAATAAATCTTCTTGGATACCTGAAGCTATGTCTTCAATACTTTTAGGGTCTGAAACTTTGCAGTGCTTAGATGTTCAAGCACAATAAGGATGCCGCTTTTCCTTTGGAAGTAGTTTTGAGTGAATTTTAAGTAAAACTAGGTTCTGCTTGAAACTGGGGCCATAAACTTTATCTGTCCTTGGATAACATTCTCACTTTGGGGTTTTCTATCAAAAAATACCATTGTTATTTAGATGTGTTGTCTCAATATCTACCTTCATGTAATGATTTTGAGTACACACAGGACCGAAGAGGTAGTCTGGTCCAACGTCACAGGAGGGGGCAAGTAGAGCAGGTTGCTCACGTCCATCCAGCTGTGAATGTCTGAGGTTCAGCCTGCTTCAAGGTTTACCTATGCTGATTGTCTCTCCTGCTATTTAATAGGTGTATTGCTTGCTGTGGCTCTGTCATCTGTTGTCCTGCTATTTTGCAGATCTAAGAGACATCTCATTTAGCTCACAAAAAAAGGCTTACTTTCTAAGTCCATGTAGGTAACGGAGGCAGCAGTAAGACACACCTGCAAACACCTTTACTCTGAGCTGAAAGAACACATATTCACTGTCTGCTGTGTGCCCTAAGCTGTTACAGTGGTCCTCCCATTAGATTTGCTTCAGTAAGTGTTTTGTACTGGGCAGCCCAAAATGGCACCATTGCAGATGCCACAGTGCAAGAACTGATTGGTTTCATGGACTTCTGCTGCATTCCAGATAGCCTTATATTCAATTACATTTCTGAATTATATTTGAACACCAGTAACTACATGTTCTGTTTGTCTACTGGGAGATGAGGTTGCTTTCTGCATAGTTGCATTATATCTGGTCAACCCTCAGCCTACACTATTGCATGGTGTCACTTTGTTCCAGGTGCAGGGCTTCCCTCTGTTAAATTTTGAGGACTGTTTCAAGGGGCTTGAAAAATAACACTGTCCAAAATCTGATCATCCAGTGTGTTGGACCTCTGCTCTTTATTTCTCCCTAGTTTGATCTATGGATTTACAGAGGGTATAATTTGTTTCATTGTCTAGTTGATTAATGAAGAGGTAAAACACGTGTAGAGTATTGACTTTCAAACAATGCCAATGTTTATGAAGTATACTGTTCATAACAATTTGTAACTAAGAAACTGTTTCCTTCTACACGTTTTTGTAAAAGCTCACTCTGTTTTGAGATGCATAAAAGAGACTTCATCAGTAACTTCTCATAATTTGAATTTTCAGTGCACAAAATCACGTTCTAGGCTTTAATACTTGGCTTTGAACAGAATTATCATTTCAACTCATCATACACTAGCTAATTCACTTCCTGGTAGAAGCCTTAATTTGAAAATAATACATTAAGTGTAACTTTGTTACATAATGAAAAACTTCACCAGTGGACTCAAAACAAAAAGTAGACGACTCTTCTGGTAGTAATGACTATTAGTACTTGTCATTCTTTATTTTAAAAATTGTTTTGTCTTGAATCCTGGCTGTTTGGCTTTGTTCCTTGGTCAGCACTACATGTGTATATGGAATAAGTTGTATTTTTTAATTGTGGAAGGTATCTATTGGAGACTTGCTAACTTTCCATATCTACTTTTGCTCCATATGATCAAGACACACCTAATATTCACATTTACCATTCTGGGTAACAAGTAGCTATTTTAATTTAGACTATTCATTGTAACTTATTCTGAATTGAGTCATGTGGAAGAATCAGTTGATGAAAAATGTCATGTCAGCCTATTAAATAACATTAGTTCAGAAACAATAGCTAAAATTTACTTTTCTGTTCTTGTAACATCACATGATCAAACTATTCCAAAATATTTATCATTATCTATTGAATCCAATTATTATAAAGAGCCATCTGAAAGTCTTTTCGTTGTTCTTTAATTCAAGTAACCAACTGGAGAGCTGGAGATGGTATTGTCAATATTATCTGCAATTAGGAAGCATCCTCACTTCACCAGCATTTCTTACTTAGCTGCTAAAAATGAGCTATGTAACTATGTAAGTAGTGTATCACTCACAACTTTAGAAGGCAGGAAATCTTTACTTCAGCTACACCTGGGGAATATTTCCAAACCTGGGGTCTGAACTGAGGGACAAACAGGCAGTTTCTGGGTTGCTTACATTCTCTACTGTTCAGCATGTCTGCACACCAGTTCCTGCTCTGAAATGGGCTTTAGGTAGGGTTTGAAGCATAGTATAAAAACACAAAAAAAAAGATGAAATTATATTTTACCTTAGCATGAACTCAGTATGTGCCCTTCCTGGCATTTGAGAGATTCATGAACTGGCTCACGTGTCCTGCTGGTCATCCTCTAGCATGAACCCTTGAATGCCACAGGCTTGATGTCCTATACAGGCAGTTATACTGTCTCCATGTTGAAAATTCCTTAGCAATTTGATTCTTAATTTAAAAATATATCAGTTAGAAATGAAGCAAAATATAGCCACATCAGAAAATACTACTTCAATATTCATGTTGTTAGAGGAGTAAGGTTTAGCCAGTACTGTCAGGCCTTATGTACAAATAAGACTTCTGTTGTCTGGGTTGCAAAAGGCCCAGTATATGTTGGAGATTTTTTGTGTACATGTAATTGACATTTGATTTGTTTACAAAGCTTATGTAATCCTGGTAGAGACACAGGTTTTTTGTAGTCCTGAAATGTGTTTCAATCCAGAATCTGCTTTGTATGGCTGCGGTGTATATAAACTGGGAAATGAGTTCCCATTTGGACAGATTCTAATTAATAATTGACACATCTTCATGAGAAATTGTTCCCAGTATTAATGAGGTTACCTGTTGCAGTCACTCTCCCATAACAAGTGTCCCTTTTGTATACCTTTTTGGTACAGGAGAATAAATTAGATGTAATAGAGTGTAATAGCTCTGCAGAGCTAAATGCTCTCTGTAACTGCTAAAATATTATCCTACTACATGGTATTTAGCTGGTTTTTTTGTTGTTGTTCTGTGCTAATCAGTATTATTTCCTTTCAATTTAGATCAGTGTATTGTCACTCGGACATACCTCTTTCTTCATAAATTCTGGTTCTTCAGCGCTGCCTATTACTTTGGGAACTGGGCATTCATTGCAGTAAGTACTTTGATTTTGGAGACCTGAATCAAATTGGATAATTTACAGTAATTGTCATTGCATCATTTGCATCATCACACTACAATTTGTTTTACTTAGCTTGCCCTATATGCCCCTTAACTGAATAACAGTGACACTTTCTACTTTAAATTTGCAGGTCTTTTTAATTGGATTAATTGTTTCATGCTGCAAAGGCAAGAAATCAGTCATTGAAGGTGAAGTAGATGATGACGATTCAGATATGAGTGATGATGAACTGTCTGTTTATTACCATTGACAGCTTTTTGCCTTCAAGATGAAAAAATGTAAAATTATGTTGAGAGTCATGCCCACGTGGAACTTGTATCCTGATAAGCATCTTTGCACCTGTAAAAATAAAAGAGATGTGTGTACACACTTAAAGGGATAAAAAACCTGATTATCACTTTGAGTATCACTGTTGAATGAGAACAAATGTTGAAGCTGACTTTGAATACTATATAGAAAATATTGTTTTATGATTAAACATATACGTAACCTTCTGATGTATAATTTGGTGAACTGTTGTAACTGTTTCATAATTCACAATGCTTTTCTGTTAACTTAGGTTTTCTTAAATACTTTTATGCTTAATTTGTTGGACTTTTAAATTCATAAATACAACTAACTAAAATCCTGCAAAACAGTGCAAATATTGCAGGAAAGATTTGGATTAAGTTTATACTCTATGAAGGGCTTGACTTGACTTTTGCATTAGTTTTGATGGATTACTATATAAAACTATATCTATCAATTAAAGTATGCCAAAAATATTATTTAAATGGTGAGTTTCCAGTCTGTGAAAAAAGTAATTTTAATACTGTGATCTCCACTGAGTTACCACAGAGATTCTCAGGTAACTATGAGGTGGCTTTTGCTCTCTCAAAGGAAATCATAGTGTAAATTACAATATTCAGCACTGTTGCAGTGTTTTAGTAAGGTTGAGTTCTGAAACTTCCAGGTGCCTGATCTAGTCATAACCAATGGAATAATTAAGATGTGATTAATTTTTAACTTATTTTTCTCTTTAATGCAAATTGTCTAGTTTGAAATTCTGTCAATATTTAATGTTGTCAATTTGTTTACAAACCCATATGTTTATATAAACACAGTTCAGAAATATTTTTGTCATTCGTGTTGTCTTTGTAAATTAATCCTATTTTAGCTGTATAGTTGCTGAGCTATATTTCTAAGGATCTTCATATATCCTTTGACAGACTCTGAAAGAGAAAATGTTTACAAGGACAGGTTTTTAAGCTTCTAATGCTACCTGAGGGACATTATAGTCTATGCAAGCCCATGTAAAGGTGATTAGGTAGCTTTTTTTAAATAACACTAATTGTTAAATAGCTATTAGAATGTAGGATAGTTATTAATATCATGTCCTGCTTTCATGTTTGCAAACACTAAAGTTATTTCAAGAACAATCTGCCTCTTTCTGCAGTATTTCAGAACAGCAGGCTCTCAGGAACTTTTGAATTCTAATTTAGCTTCAGTATTGGAGGAGGTCTTAAGTGAGTTCTGTAGTTAGTGCAGGAACACAGGGAACTGATGTTTGGACTATAGGAACAAAACCTGATGTTTTTTAACAAGCTGTCTGTGCCAACTGCTCCAGTAATAGAAATGTTGATGTGGCAACGTGAAAGAATCACACACACAATAAGCTGAGTTGGAGGGGACCCACATGGATCATTGAGTCCATCTCCTGGTGTTGTAGGTGGATCATAAGCTGAAAATATGCTCAACTAATATCAATCAATCTCTTTGTTACTGATGTGTCATTTGAAAGGACAGAAATGTATTCAAACACTGAGAATAGGTACTGAAATTTGACTCGGCTGTCTGAGTAGAATTAGCAGCATATTATTTAAACGTGACAACTGGGGAAACTTGCAAGGAATTAGTTACAAGAAGAAGTCTAGTTACAGAAGGTGGAATGTGATATTGACTGGAAGCTGCATCCAGAGCATAGCAACAACCTGGAGTATAGTTATTTGTAGATGTCTTGGTGGAAAACTTATATCAGCTAATTTAAATAAAGTTAACTGCTCAGATGTCCTCCTTTCTTTGTGGATTTTATTCATTTGTCATCTTCAGTTTTAACCAAAAATTGTCACTTCCTTCTTACAGGTTTGTTTGTAACACAACTTTGCAGAGTTATATCTATTCTGCCCTAAATTTGCCTTGAGGAGATGACTGCTCGTCTGGGGAAAGTTTGTTGGGAAGGTGTTGGTTTTGTGCCATGTATCTGCTTCATGCTGTGTGCAGGCCTAGGGGATCACTGGCCAAGATGCCTAGCCAGTGCCTAGGTACATTTTGTTATAGGTCTCTCCTGTTTCTAGCATTGTGTTAATTTCCAGGAATTTCTTCCCAATCCAGTTATGTTTCCTGTCTAAATAGTCTATATGCAGTGATACAATAATCTGCCTTTGAAATGGTGATGTTGTCTTTTTAATTGGGGGATTCAGTAAGTATCAGGTTTTTTTAATCCAGGTATTAATCACATTTATAAGCAGCCCATTGTTAATTGCAGCTATCAAGAAGCAGGCTTCTGTGGAAAGTTCAAAAGTTACTTCAGACATCTGCTGTCACCCTCTGTCATAGAAGCAGTAAATAACTGCCAGCATTTATAATCGGAATTATTCGTCACCTGCCACATGCTCACTAAAACTTTTCAGGAGTTAAATGAACCATTTGACTGACAAGGTTTTAAAAGATTTTCTACTTGCTAATGTAACTGTAATGAATATACACTCAAGAATTCATCTCTAAATACTTTGTGTGATGGAAACTTGACTTTTTTAGTAGTACTGTGCCTTTAAAATGAACTAGAGGTGTTTTTTGAAATTTACTGTGTGAACTGTGTTTCAGACTGTTTTTCTACATCCATTATCACCCAGTAAGAAACCTAGCAGTGAAGTTTAAGATAGCTATGACTTAAAGTACTTGGCTGTGATCAATGCTTGCAGGAACTTCCAAAAAACAGAACATCCAGTATATTTTTGTCCTAGTTGCTTCTTGTGTGGTCTTAAGTAGTTAGTTAGAACAATTAATTACTTTTCATCCACAAAGTTACAGTGCTGCTGTAGCACTACATCTCACTCGTTTAGCTATTAAACATGAAATGATAGTCCAGTTTTCTGCAGTTTTGAGAGCAAATTTGAACTTTGCAGTCATGTTTGCAATCAAACATTTAATATCTTCAGAGATCTGTTTTCTGGACTAAATTCACTAAAAGGCTTCAGAATTGTTTCACTGCTTTCTTTAAATGAGTATTTCAAATCTCTCTCTGAAGTGTAAGCTTCCTAAACTTCTGTAGTGCTATTGTCAGACTTAAGTTACCTTTGTTGTTGCACTTCTTCAGTTGGCTTCTACCATGTTGGAGGCTCTTGAGCATTTAGAAACTAGAGAGCTGTAAATCTTGCTGACATGTCAAATAAAACAAGATCACTAGGAATATGTTGGATAGAATTCAGCAACATGTGCCAAATAGGTCCTCATTTTGCTACTTGGACTACAGTGGTAGTTTATCCTGAGTTCCAGGTCATAAGTATGATAAAGCCTGTTAATTGTTTGTTTGTTCCTTATCTGAAGCTGAGAGTGTGCTGCAGAATTTCCTGCTGATTGTCAGAAACAAGTGAAAAGCCTTTCCTGATAGAGATGAAAAGAAATATCTGCTCACTTCTTGTATTTTCTGCTTTAATTTCAGGAAAATGATTGCAGGGTAGGCTTGAGATTTTTGCACTGAAAATTTTAATCTACTTCTTGGTGGAATGTACCTGTACAAGAGCCATGCTGCAAAGGATGGTAATTGCATGCTCAGAAAATGTGACTATTTAAGCTGAAAGCTAATGAACCTTTTCAATGCTTATGATTTGCTTCTGACATAACTATGCAGTTTCTTTGAGATGTCTTCTACTTTTTTGCAACTGTATTTCTTGAGTTATTTGGCTTTGTCAACTCAAGTTTGAGTTGGACAGTTTAAGTTGGCCTACAACAGAATTTTGAAAAGCATTGTCTCCTTGTAGAAACTATTATGTGGTTTACCCTAAAATAATGCTGAGTGCTATTATGCATATTAGAGGTACAGTTGAAGTGTTTAAGGTAACTGATTAAGTGTAGAAGGTAACTTTTCTACTAAGTAAGCAGATACTCAGGTCTTATGATTGCATTGATACAGTTCTGGGCACAGGCAGGGAAATAAAGCCTTGCTTCTGAGATAAAGCAAAGGGAAAAACATTTGTCCCTTTCTAAAATTTATCAAAATGACTTTAAATACTCAGCCTGTAACATTTTTCAGGATCTTAGGTTAAAGATTATAGTTCATATTGAAAATGCTTCTTTACATTAGTGTAGACCTGTTCCCTTGTAACCTTCTGCAAGGTCAAAGAAATGAAATTGAGAATCACTATTTCTTCTCCTGCAAATGTGTATTTTGAATGTAGTTCTCAAAATAAATAAAAGCCTTGTTTTGATTGTGGAAGATACGATTTTCTATTAATACTCTAAACCAAATTCTGCTTCTAAATTAAGATACTTGCCAATTCTGGATAATTAAATGGATCAGAAATTCTTCAGCTTTAGTGAGATGTGGCTGTTACAAAAATTATCTGGAAGTTGGCCTATTTTTAACTTCCTTCTATTCAGAGAGGTTGCATGAGTGATAGCACTTCAGTCAAATTTATAGCTAAAAAGAGGGTTATTTCTTTTAAATAAACAGACAGTTTAAGCACATTAAGCAACCCATATTTCTAGGTTTCTTCCACATTTACCTCTAGAAGTATGGTGTCTTTAGAGGGTCAAACAGAAGAATTTTGGTTTATAGAGGGCTGGTGATAGTGGTAAGCCACAGATGTGGTAAGTTTTTCATGATCTTCCTGTACTGATGTTGAATCCTTATTTTGTATGTTATAAACATCTGTGTTTTTTCACAAAGAAAATAATGCAGGTTGCCTATAAAACAAAACAGCTTAATTTTCTTGAGCATTTTTGCAGGACAATTTCAAAATCCTTATCATGAGACTTCAAAAGTCTTGCAAAAAAATGGAGATTGTATGACATTTAAAGTAAAAGTGAAGCTGAACAAGTGTGTAGTTCTTATTAGAATTCCAGTCTGGATATGGTGCTTTTCACCAGAATGTGTGGAACTTCTTGCAAGGAAGTAAAATATAGATTGAGTTAATACCTGTGCTTCTGCTAAGCTGCCTAAACATTAATCATGACATTAGCATTTGTGGTAAGTGCATTTCTTCAACCAAGAGTACTTCAGAGTCAGGACAGCAAGGACTTGGTGTGAATGTCTATGATATTTCTCACACACATAAGCCCGTTCCCCATTTTATAGCCTTCCAGCCTATAGACTTACCACTGTATCAGGCTTTTGAAGATGTGTCCTGGGACAAAAATATTTGAGTCTGACACTTAGTATATAATTTAAAGGTACCATTTACCTCCTAAGTTCAGAATTATAGAATCATTTAAAAATCTTGGAGTAGACTATTAAGATTATCAGGTCCACCAGTAAACTGTGTTCCTAAGCACCACATCTACATAGGTTTGAATTCTTGAGTTTTACTTACTTAGTCTTCTTTAAACTTTTAAGTTAGACAAGTCCAAGTCTACATCCTTACTGTCTGCTACGTTTATCATCTTTCCAAATAAAAATGGTAAGATGCTGTTGAGAAGTATATTTGATGTGCATGGGATGTTCTTTTGGAGTCGGCTAATGAAGAAAACTTCAGTTTATTGTCATGAAAAATGTTTTGTTCTATCTTGGGCTGCAAAATCCTGAATACAGAACAGCTTTTTTTTTTTTAACTTGGAAGTTAGTTTCTTAACAGTGGACATATCTTTCTCGTGCATGGAGAAAAAAGAAATCATCACTGGAAAATATGATCTCCAGAGGAATCCTCATTTTCCCATCTATGAAGCAGCTGCTTTATTTTTCCAGAAATGTGTATCAAAGAAATTATATTTTTATTAATTTCCTTGTCTAGAAATATATAATGCCTCTTAAGTTGTGCAGAGACTGACATCAGGGTTATTTTAGGGTGTGATTTTCAAAAATGTTGAGTGGACTTCCTACTGAAAACTTCAAGGGTTTGAGATCCTAGGGGATTTGG